GAAAGAAAGAAAGAAAGAAAGAAAGAAAGAAAGAAAGAAAGAAAGAAAGAAAGAAAGAAAGAAAGAAAGAAAGAAAGAAAGAAAGAAAGAAAGAAAGGTCTTCAAACCTTTCAAAGACCTACAGAGTATGGCATTTAAAATGTCTTGTTAACTTAGGGCTTTTCATGACAGTAAGACACATCTGTTTCTGGAAGTACCAATTTACTTCAGAGATGATGGGCATCGAAGAAACTCCTTATGGAGTTTGCTTTCAATATGGCAAGGCTAGCCATTTGGGCAAGAAGTTGCTCTTGCCTGGATTGCTGGACAGTATGTTGTATAAACTGGACATGCCTGACCCACAGAAAAGTGACTGCTGAACTTTTCAAAACAAGGGTGATAGCCCTTCCAGGGTTCCTGCTTCACAGAAGAAACTGCCAAACACAGAGGAAAGTGACTATTAAACTTTACCAATATAGGTGGGACAGTCTTTCAAATTTCTTGCTTCATTGAAAAGTCTGCCAGATACTATGGACCTGTAGGCTGAAGATGGATGCTCCAATGTTGCAGAGAAACTTTGGGTGACTATCCAGGCAGTCATATTTCTCTGTCATTTCTAGGTTTTTTGGAAGTTGTTTGCAATGTATTTATTGTTTACTCAAATAATATTATATCCTTCTGGGGTTTTTGATGGAGTTGAAGACTAGACACTTAAAAGTTGCAGTTTTTCTTAAATATGATAAAAAGTAAATTAAGTATGAAATTTTGGATTTACTAAAATAAGATAGATTATTGAATATTTTCTTAAATTTACCAGACACAAATGAATTGGAATTCAGTACACTGTGAATGTAATCTTTACTTGACAATTTTTCTTATTGTATACAGTCTTACTATGTTCAAGTTAAAACCTTTCATTTTTGTTTAGAAAAAAAAAAGGGCGGAATGTTGAGGAATACTATTTTAAAGTATGTTACTTTTGTTTGTGTTGCATTCATTTAACTCTGTGAAGCTGTGTTACAGAGCCTGTCTGAAACAACTGACAGTCTAAAGAAGAGCTGAACGGAGGAGAGCAAGGCAGGAGAAAGGATAGGCAGGGCTGGCAGGCAGAGGGAAGATATAGAAGGAGAAATCTGGAGGGAAGAAGTAGCCAAAGAAGCAGGAGAACCCAAGAGCCAGTGGCCCAGCTACACAGCAAGCCACAGAGTAAGAAACAAAGGAAGTATACAGAAATAGAAAAGGAAAAGCCCAGAGACAAAAGATAGATGGGATAATTTAAGTTAAGAAAAGCTGGGTAGAAATAAGCCAAGCTAAGGTCAGGCATTTATAATTAAGAATAAGCCTCCATGTGTGACTCATTTTGGGAGCTAGGTGGTAGGCGCCCCAAAAAGGGCAAAAACAAACAACACGGGTGGCTCCTGAGAAATGACACTGAGTTGACCTCTGGCCTACACACACACACACACACACACACACACACACACACACACACACACCACAATTGAAGCTATTCTAGGTACTTTATCCAAAGAATCTAATTTATTCCAACAATAACTCTATGAGCTACAAAGTATCTCCGTTTCATATAACACACAGAAAACATTAAGTGGAAGGTTTTCCAAATAAAATCAACACAGAACAGTAAGGAAATAACAAAATGCCAACCTGAAACCATTTGGCATGTCGAAGAGAAGCCAAGGCATTTAGGCATTTCTGCCTGTCCAGTAGGTCCGGAGGGTCTTTCATCATAACATTTTCTAGTAGCAAAATGGGATAAAGGAAAACAGATACAGTTTGAAAGGGGATTCTTAAGAAATTATCAATAAAAACCAAAAGAAAGCAGCATTTGTTATAAGACTCCAAAAATTTTCATAACTTGGTTATTTTGCTCTTTTTTAATTAAGTGCACATTATTTAAATAAACAGTCATCAAATTCTGTGAAAAAGTACAAGGAAAACTAGAAGAATTCATTCAGCAAAGGAATCAGTGACCACTGCTTCTTATAATCAATCAGGTATCTTATTAATGAACATGTATACCATCAAGGAAAAAAAATACATAGCACTTTTTCATTTGGCAAGCTACAAAAAAGGGCATCTGGGAATAATAGCAATAAAAACTTTTTTTTGTTTGTTTGTTTTTCATGACAGGGTTTCTCAGTGGAGCTTTGGAACCTGTCCTGGAACTCGCTCTGTCCTAGACCAGGCTGGCCTCAAACTCACAGAGATCCGCCTGCCTCTGCCTCCCAAGTGCTGGGATTAAAGGTGTGTGCCACCACCATCCAGCAATTAAAAACTTTTTAATAGAAGAAAGTTTGATCACTGATCAGAGTCTAAAAAAGTTGGACCTCTTATGTAATAGTAAAGTTGGATAAGCTGAAAGTATACTGTGTGTGACCAAAAAAAGAAATTATTTACTTCTATACAACCCCAGTCACTAAAATAACTACCACTAGAAACTTGACTACACTAATGAGAATCTCAACAGTTACCTTGAAGTTCATTCAGTATTTCTTTTTGGAGCCAAATTTTTAAAACTACAAATATAAAATAAACAGAAATGTATTTCATATTTATTGATCTCTTTTTCTTTAAGGCAACTCATAGACTGCTACATAACCATGGTCATTTCATTTGCCTTACATTTCACAATTGTTTGAGATGGTCAAAAGCAGCAAAAATGAAACATGGTAAACAATAAACCCACATACTTGAGATGTTACATGATACTAAATCTAAGTTTCTATCACCAAATTCATTTCTACTAAGTATAGAGAAGCAGGCTTGTCAACTTTTCAAGTCTTGATGCATTATTTAAAAGCATAGTTCTACAAATGGATTCCTACAGAAGAATTGTCTAACCCTGAGTCAGATTCATCATTCTCTCTTAGGAACGCTTTTAAATATGTATCCTGCCAACATTTCTCAATATTCTCATTAAGAGTAGATATGCAGTATACAGCATGGTCCAAGAGATGTAAATATCTTTAAATGGTGCACAAGAACATGGACACTTTTTTGATTCCTTAGTTATCAGTGACTCTATAGTGGTAAATTTAGTGTTTATTCTACTAATTAAAATATTTCTAAACCTGAAGGCATAATGCCCAACTAAAACCACAACTATAAAAGGAAGAACTGTGGGTCCCCTGTACTGCTGCAACACTAACCAATGAAGTGCTACACACTTACTTCCTGCCAAGTGAGCTACACAGCAGATGTCTGCATTGTTTCCTATTAATCACTGCCAGCAAAAGCAACGCTAGGTCTCATTTCATTAATCTCTACTAACAAAAATCACAAGCTTCTAAAAGAATTATCAATGTGGAGTTGTTTATGAACCCAAACAAATATGGTACTCACAGGTGATCTAGCTCCTGAACTTGTGTTTACAGGCACAAACGATACAACTGAGTCACTTTAATGTTTTATCATCAAATTGTCAATACAAGCATCTGTGTAAAGCTCATATAGAAGATAAAATATTTCTAAATGAGTTATTAGAGTACTCTTATTCTTTTATTTTGTTTTGTTTTTCGATACAGAGTTTCTGTGTGTAGCCCTGGGTGTCCTGGAACTCACTCTGCAGACCAGGCTGGCTTCGAACTCAAGAGATCCACCTGCCTCTGACTCCCGAGTGCTGGGATTAAAGGCGTGCACCACCACCGCCTGGCAAATTATTAGAATCTCTTGAAAGGTAAATATGACAAGGTAAAGAAGGTAAAGGTAAATATGACAAGGTAAATATGAAAGGTAAAGATTGACTGACTGCTATGGAACATAATCCAAATTGGTTAATTTTTTTTTTGTTATAACTTCAATTTTTAAATGAACAGTAAAGAGTGTTAAGTTTTATTCTACCTATCCTATTGAGTCGAAATGTCAGAAAGAGGGTGACAAAGGAAGAGGGGCATAGGAAGGAAGAGGGGATAGATAGAGGTAAGATCTAAGAAGCCAGAACTCTTTGTTCATCTTGTCAAATGGCTAAAGATGGTAAGTACCTTATCCTAATTGTGACAGATATCTGCAATGGTGACAAGAGAAAGATATTTTTTATTTCTTTCATCTCAAAATGAGATTACTACTATAAACTCTTACTTTAAAAAAAAGTCAAAACATCAGCTTGCTATAGTCAACATTTGGAAACAGATTTTACTAAAAAAAAAAAAAAAAGATGAAAAGGAAAAGCACTGAGAACTTGCAGCAGATTCCGCTCACACTGACATCAAAATGGCCATGTTTCTTCACGCTCTGAGAGTCAAAAGATCCAAAATGTTTTACTATTCATAAAGCTGGAAAGAGCAGAGGTGTAACAATACATTTTATTTTGAAAGATTTTTGTATTATGTGACACACAAGCATATGGCATTACAGCGCTACTTATCAGCCCAGCTTCTCTATTTCCTTTCTATAGCTAGTCATATAGTTTTACATATTTTCACTGACTAAAAAAAATTAATGTGGCAATCACAGAACTACTAATGGGAAAATAATGACCCTCCTGATAGAACCTCAAGTTTAATATTTCAGGACCTTAATACAGTTTTGTGTGTGTGTGTGTGTGTGTGTGTGTGTGTGTGTGTGTGTGTGTGTGTGTGTGTGTGTGTTTCAACTTTATTAGGTAAGCAGAGATTTTACTTTTAAAAAATATATTTGTCATTAATTAATTAAAAATAGCAGAACTGCTGGGCTTGTGGTCTAAATACTTTAAATCCCAGCACCCTCAGAGACAAGTGGATGGTATCCAGATCAGCCTGGATTTCCAAGCCAGGGGTACATAAGAAAACCCTGTCTCCCTGCGCCCCCAAAACAAACAAAAAAACCTAAATAAATAAATAATAAAGTGCAGAACTATGATCCATTTCACTTGCTTTGTAGGAAACATAAGAAATAGCATAAAATGGACAAGTATTAACAAAAATGCCAAATGCAAAGAAAAATACCGCTTTTAAAAATGTTTTTGTAGCCTGCCATCACCATGTATGTATGTGCACTGGAACAACATTATATGCATCGATGGAAGCACTGGAAAGAGGCTGTCATTCGTAAACCTGCTGCCTGGTTGGAGGCTAGTTAGATCAGTGACCAGAAGACACTGCTCTGCAGTGTTTTCACACAATTTTTCTCAGTGCCTTACATGCAGACTATCTGCCCCGTTAACAAAACACTAGCCTGTAGAGGAGGAACAGGGAAAGCCAGAAATGACTGGCTGTGTTATATGTCTAGACCCCGCTCTTGAAAAGTAAAATAATTGAGCTGGGGGTAGCATGGCAAGCTCCATGACAATCTGGACAAAGCCTACCTCTCAGCTCATCCTGACAGAATCTTTTAGTATGTCTGAGGATATTCTTAAAATCTCCTTTCTCTCAATTCCTTAAAGCTTTCTGGAAAGACATTATGCTTGAACTATACTGTTCATGAAAAACATAAGGACATGGTAATATGAACAAACACATGTAGCAATAAGGTGGAACTGTCCCTTTCCTAGTTGAATTATGCCACCAATGCTATCTTTGTGACAGCAGAGCACCGGAAAGAAAATGACCATGTTTTCTCTGCACAGTACATATCTGGCACCTGGGGAAGGGAGGAAAATAAAGCCTGCAGCACAAGTATGGAACAATCTAATGTCATGACCCTAGCAGGAAACATACCAGTGAACCTCTGCCAAAAAGAGTCAGAAATACACCCTGGCATCAATAGGTGAAAAAGAACTCACTTCTCTATCATGCTGTTGACTCTACTCAATACTAATGACAGAAAAGACTTTATTTTTCACTATCTGCTTGGTTTAAAACCACAATGTAAACATAACTTTAAAAAATTTATCACCTCCCCCAATAGCAAATATATTTCTAGTTTAAAGTAACAAGCACCAAGGCTTGTAATGGCTTTGTAATGGTCAGAAAGAAACAATCAGCTAAAGTGTACATGTAGCAACCCCAGGAAGGAAGGGGGAAGAGGATTCCATACTGGACTCTTACAGGATAGCTGGCCAAAATACAGTTACATTCCTGCTTATAACAGAGCAACAGCTACCTCCCTTTTAGGGCTACTGTGAGATTTTTTTTTTCCTTAAATAAATCATATATGAGGATTATAACATGAAGGGCATAATATTTTAACAGAAATACATCTTCAGTAAATATTATTTAAGCCATGCAAGATGCTGCTTATTGTTAACTTTCCTTTTTATACACTGGACTATATTTTCTCAGATAATATGCTGACTGAGAATTCCCTGTGAAGATTCATGTGTGGTACTCTCTGGTAATCTACCTCTGTATCAGGTATGATTCTAGGTGCTTAGGATAAAGGACAGGTATAGGAGGAGGTGGGGGAGAGGGGGAGATCTGCCATCCAAGGAACAGAGCTACACAATAATCCAGCTTAGAGTATACTGCATACTGGCTAACACTGGATTTCAAGTGTGGTTTAAAGTTTAGCTATGTGGATGATTGTGGAGGGGCAGCACACAGAAGGTTTAGGCAGAAGGATATCTGCGAGTTCAAGGCCAGCCTGGTATATCAAGCTGATGTATTTAGTGAGTTCCAGGGCAGACAGAGCTAGCAAGTCCTTGCCTCAAAATTAGATAGTTGGATAGGTAGGTAGCTAGGTAGAAAAATAGATAGATGATAGATAGATAGATAGATAGATAGATAGATAGATAGATAGATAGACAGACAGACAGATAGACAGATAAATGGATAAATGAATGTATGAATGTTCGGCTATGTTAAGGTTCAACTGTCTAAACACAAGCTGGTGTATTTATTGAGTT